TGCAGGGCACAGGGTGAGGGTCTGGGGGTGCCCCAACCTGGCCACCCTGTGGGTCTGGAGTGGCAGCTGCTCCCTGCACAACGTGTTCCCCTTGCTGCGAGGGCTACACGGGACCCCCTGCCCGGATTGTGGCTCCCAGTATGGACCAGTGCCCCGGGGCAGCCCCAGTCCCCTGGCAGCAGGGACAGCCTGCAGGGTGCCCGGGGCGTGCGTGGGCTGTTGGCACCACCTAGTGGGGTTTGTGACAGGTCTGGCTGTGCCCTGTCCCCGGGGCACCAGCACGGCCCAGGGACCCCCCTCGAGGGGTCTCCCCCAACCCTCGGTCCATTGGTTTTATACACTGGGTGGGTTTGTGCCTTAACAGCCCCCACCGTAGGTGCCCCTAGATGGAGCATTTGGGGGTACCTGCAATGCTGGGACCCCCCTGGACTGGTTCAGTATCACCTTGCCCATGGCAGGGTTGGCCGTGGGGTCCAGTACCCCCCACGGTGGTCCAAGGGGTCAGTGGGGCACACTGGGCTGTGGGTGATGGCTGAGCAAGCCAAGGATCCCACAGAGTGTGGGATTGGGCAACCAAGAGCCCCTGACCCCCAGCTGGGCTGCAGAGCTTCCCTGGCACAGCCCGAGCTGGGGGGTTTGCCCAAGGCTCCTCCTGCCCTTGCACTTCAGCCACCAGTTGAGGTTTCCTGTGCAAATGCCATTAGGAAAAGCAGGAGTGTATAATCCAGGGGGTGGGGAACAGAGCTGGTGGCTGAGGCTGAGCTGCACCTTTTTGGTGCTGGGTAGTGGCAGAATGAAGTGTCCACAACACATTAACTTCTTCCCTTCTCCTTTCTTTCCCTTTTTACTTTTAAACATCTTAAAGCACAGCCCACAGGTGTGGGCAGTGCTGGGGCACAGCAACATCAATACCTGAGGGATACCCAATCAATACCTGAGGGATATTGGGAGCCAGAACTCCCCTCAGACTGCCCACCCCATTCAGGTCACCCTACAGCAGCAAGGGAAAGTTCCATCAGCACCAAGAAAAGCCTGAGATTGATTTATTTGTGAGTTTATTAGGCCAGGAGAAAGGTTAGAGGATGCTCAGCTTTGCCCCTCTTAGTCCGTTTCTGCAGCCCTCCCTGTGCATGGGGGAACCAGCTGGATCAGACCTGGCCCCAGCCCCAAAACTGGGGTCCCTTCCCTGCTCCCCTTGGCCTGTGGCTGCCACATGCCCCACAGGGGACCAAGGCTTATGGCACAGAGTGGGGTGAGTTCAGCAGTGAGTCACTGTGGAGGGAATACAAGCGAAACAACTTGAAAACTCCTGACCCTGTGTCTCCCAGCATCCAAACTCCTGACACCAACATGAGTTAGCAATTTAAGTGCTTTCCTCCCCTTCCTCAAAAAATAGAGGATGGCAAATTTTTCTGGAGCCATTATTCTGCTGGATGATGACAGCTCTGGAAAACCAGCCAAAACCTAACGCTTCAGGTTGAGGATTTGTCTCTCCCAGCCGCATTAAGTAGCTCCTGCTCTGTGAAACAGCTATCTGGGATGCTGCCCTAGCCTTGCATCTTCCCTTGAAGCTGCTGGCACTGTGCAGTCCCTAGGAGGAGGGAGCAGAGCTGCCAGGGGGTGCAGGATGGTGCCAGCACACCCCAGGGACCTGCAGCACAGCCAGCACACAGGTCAGGGCTCTGCATGCATCCTGCACTGTCCAGGTGCTAGCAGGGATGGCAGAAATCTTTTTCCATCCTAATTTTAATTTGCCTGCCTACACCAAGCTCCAGACTTAGCCAACCCTGCAAAGCAATGGAACAGCAAATGGTCCTGGCTGCTCTCACAGGGATTGCATGTGCTGCTGGTTTGGGCAGTGATGCTGCAGCAGGAGGGATGCACAGGGACACTTGGAAATGGCAGTTCAGGACCTTGGGTGACTGCAAATGTATGGATTTGCAAATGATAGGACAAAAGGGTCTCACACCTGGAGGACAGGGAGCCTGTGGCTTTGGGGGGAGGAGGGAGGGTTGGCAGGGGAGACAGGTGAAATTTCTTTCAGGAATTGTGTCTCAAAAAGAATCACCCCAAAATCAATGGTTCAACCAGATCAACACCTCTCCCTGGGGAGCTGCATGGTGGAGCAGCCCTGGCCCACACCATTAGCACCTGCCCAGCTCCAGGAAGGTCAAGGCTCAGTTTTATTTGCCATTTCAAGGGAGCACTGGCCAGGAAAGGCAGCTCTACTCCACCTCCTCCACAGCCCAGCTGACCAGCAGAGCCACCTCCTTGTATGATGCCTTCTCAAGGGCTGTTTCATTTTGGTAAGGTGCAGAGCAGCAGGACGCCAGTCCATTATAATTATGTGCTGGCATAAAAATACTGACCACATGTTAAAACTTGAAGTAGGTCAGGCAGCCATCTGGTCTTGCTGACAGACATCCACAACCATAGTTAAAGAAGCTCATCTTAGAAACTTCACAGCTTGGCTAAAATTCGAAAGACCAACCATAAACATGTTTCAGCCACTGTTCCAAGGGCCCAACAGAGGCTGTTTCATTCTAAACCACATTCCCTGTACCTCATTGCTGCTCAGGTTTCTACTCCCCAAGACAAACTGCTTTGCTGAAACTTCTCCTCAGTGGCAGAGCTGAAGAGCCTCCTGTGTCCTCTGGCCCAGAGCAGCTCTGACAGACCCAAATCCAGCACACAAAATAACCTGAAAGCCTTACAGGAGAAGAATGAAATAGACACGGCCCCTTTTTTTTTTCCAAACAGTTCACATTTATTGATAACAATAAAAAAATCTTTTAAAGACTATCTGCATTTTATTACCAAGAATGAGGTATTATGTATACAAAACATTTACAGAATTTGATATGCAGTTCATGAGAGACAGGGAAGTGCAGAAGGACACTGATAACAGGAAAAGTGCCAACAGAAAAGGCATTGGCTGAGAGAAGAATAATATCACACAAAGAAAGAAGAGGGTATGGGAAATTAATTAGTCAGACTGCAGTGATCAACTCATATTGCCACAGCACTTTGCTTAGAGGAAGATTAACTATTGTTTTTCAGGAATTTTATCTCCCCAGCTGTCTGTGCTGTCATGTGCTTTGAGCTCTAAAAGATGTGTTAAGATCAACAGCAGGAAAAAACCAAAGTGCCACTTTTGAGCCAGCTCAAGTGAAAAACAAAATACAGATCTTCAGACTTGAAAAGGGACTGCAACTCAAAAAGGTCTACAAAGCCAGACACCTCTGGACAGATGTGGAGTGTTGAATGAAGCAGACTCTTTACAGTTGTCAGCAAAATCGCCATCTGAGAGAAAGAGAGAGAGAGAGAGAGAGAGAGAAAGGGGACCATCTTCAGCCCTTACAGCCTGGTAAATGGACAGTGGCATTTGCCAAGAGCCACAAGTGTCAGCAGGTGAACCTCACTGTGCTCTGGCTGCACTAGCTCCCTGTGCCTGGGAATACTGGTTCCTGCATGCCCAGAATCCATCCACCTCTGCAGCAGGTTGGCTCCTCCTGGGTAGAGAGCTCAAGGGAGCAGCCCTGAGCCACAGCCTGTGGCTGGCTGCTGTGCAGGTGCTGGGCTGACACCAGAGCAGTGGCCTGTTTCACACAGCCTAAGTGTGAGCGCCTTGCTCTGGCAGCCTAAGTAACAGTCCAAACTCCATCTTCAATTTCCAAGTCCAAAAAAACCCCAAATAGACCAGTTTGGTTCCATTTATGAGCCTGGCCTCCCAGCACCTCTGCATCTGTTACTCACACACTTGTTGGCTCTGCCAGAATCGTTTCAGAGGACAGGTCAGTAACCTGCCTCTCAGGAGCTCTGCATTCAGAAAAAAAGCTTCATACTGAGTTCAGAACCAGCTTTCCTCAGGCAAGGGATCCAGAATCTCCAGCGAGTTCTGCTTTGCAAATGGTATAGCTCCACAAGCTCTTCTACCACTTACCCACAGCAGTGCTGCTCCCCAAGCCAGAGCTTATCCCACTTCCTAGTAGGGAGTGCAGCCAGCACAGAAGCAACTTGTGCCTGGATGGACAGTTTAGCTCTATGAGGAAAGACTAAGCAGGGTCTAACCATGCAAATCCTGCTCTCCAGCGAGTTCTGCTTTGCAAATGGTATAGCTCCACAAGCTCTTCTACCACTTACCCACAGCAGTGCTGCTCCCCAAGCCAGAGCTTATCCCACTTCCTAGTAGGGAGTGCAGCCAGCACAGAAGCAACTTGTGCCTGGATGGACAGTTTAGCTCTATGAGGAAAGACTAAGCAGGGTCTAACCATGCAAATCCTGCTGCATTTCAGACTCATTCCTGCTTCCACTGCCCAGTGTGGTGTGTGGTTATCTGCTCACAGCCCTTTGCTCAGCACTTCAGTGTTTTGAGCCTTTGGAGAGAAGGCTTAGTAGGGGGAAGAACACCTGGACCCTCAGCAAGAGGTCAGCTTGGGCCTGGGTAGGATGGGGAAAAAATCCAAAATGGCAGATTGGCAGTGGTGATAGTGAAAATGGTTGAGAAAATGCTTAAAGCATCTTCTCCTGCATCACTCAGAGGAAGATGCCTGTGCTCCCTGCCTACACTCCAGCCTGTGCTGCTCAGAACTGAAGAGCTCTATTCCTGACAGGCACAGGGAAGGACAGGAGGCCTGAGGGAGTGAGAAGTGCACAGGAAGGATGTAAGCTATACCACCTTCAGCCTGATTTAAGCAGCAAGCTTCAGCTCTGCATAAATTCCTGATAAGAACAGTCTCAGTAAAATCAATTCACATGGAGTATACACTAAGGAAGCAGTGTAAAGCTCCAGCACAGAGCTGGAAGCAAATCCTGTGAGTCCTCTGGATCAGCCCAGTGTGACAGTGAGGGAGAGTCTGCCCTCTGCCTCCCCCTCTGCAGTGCTTCAAGCACAAATCCAAGGGAAGAAAGAACTGCTTTAACCCACCATGACCCAGAGCTCGAATTCCCCAAAAATGTGCTCATAACAAAAGGTGTGTTAGTGTTTACAGCCTGGCCACAGCTCTGTGGGCATGCTTTGAAAAAAACGGACTCACAAAGTCAAGTATCCAGCAACTGCTTCCCTTTGTCTTGGACATCATTAGTGGCAACAGGAGAACAGTTTGCAGCACTGGAAGATCACAGGGGGTTTTCCTTAGGATGGCAAGGAATGTCCTGACAGACTTGCAGTTGATCTCTAATGCACTATATGGAGCATTTTTGGTAGGGTTTCTCTCTCTTTTTTTTTTTGCTTTGTAACAATTGCACAGTTTAAAAACCAAACATTCTTAACTGATGCACTGGTTGTTTTTCCTTTCAACAAGAGCCCTTGTGTTCAGAGTTAGGATTTGTGCAAGCAAACTTGCAAAAATATTTATATGGCTGAGTTAGGAAAAAGGGTTAAAGTTAAGAGACAAGCTGTTGGATCTAACAAAGACCAAAACCACTAAGTGTAAAATTCAAACAGCTACTTCACTATCTATAAAAGGGTTTTATGGGATGGGGTTTTTTTGCACAATTGCCAGTTGAATATGCTGTATTGCAGTCAGCTGCCACGGGCGAGGGTCCAGCCATCACATCCATTTGCTTTTCATCTGTTGTGGCACTACCTGGAAATCATGGAGCTGGAATGAGACTGGCTAGAAGAGGTGGTGGCAGCACTGAGCTGGGAGAATCCACTGTGGCTTGATTCAAGGCTGGTCATAGATCCCCTGCAATACAAAAGAAAGTGGTTTTAAGCTTCAGAACGTACAAAGATTTTTATTTCTGCTCTGTGTCTATATTGTATTTGCACACAGACTAAAAGGCAAGTAACAGTTTTGGTGCAGATACCCAAAAGCTTTTCTGCCTCACCACATGAAGTATCAGGGAACACTGCACACCTCAGAAAAGCCAGATGCTGTTCAAAGAGATCAAGAACTACTGGCAGTCAAGTTTATCAACTGGCAGGCAACAGAACTGACTCAGTTCTGTTCTGAGTTGCAGCCCTTTCTACAGGGCAACCTGCCAAGCCCAACAGCTCACACAAAGCTTTCAAAGCAGAACAAAGTGACCAGAGATGATTACCACGAGGTAACTAATTAACCCCTTGTATACATTAATTGCTCTCAGTGCCAGTACTGGCTGACTTTTTTGTTAAGCTCTATGAAAACACAAATCCTCACAATTTACTTGTGTTTAAGTAAACTTGACACTGACTTGATCATCAGAAAGGTTTGGCATTGGCTGACCTTGCCCAGACATACCTGAAATCTTCAGATCCTATCACTTCTGTATAGTACATCACTTTACATTTGTGAGAGGAGACCTGCAGAGATGCCAGTACATCATCCACACGAGGCAGGTTGGTTGTAGCACAGGCAGGCATGTTGTGGAATTTCCACTGCAGAATATAGAAGCCAGGCCACCTGGTCACATGGGAGCCCTGGAAGGAGACACAGCAAAAATTCCAAGTTAACTTTTTTAATAAAGGCTTGAAATTTCTTTTCCAAGTTTAGAAAAACTGCCTACATGCTCATAATTTTTTTCCCACAACACCAATATTTGAGCTCCTCAGCCAACTGGCAGTACTGGGTGATTCTCCCCACACAACATGGGGAACAGCAGTGGCTCCTCAGGCTTTTTGACAGTCTGAAGGGGTTAGGATTTAAATCTACTGAAAGGACAAAGTTGTGGTTTAAAACAATATCCATTTTTCCATTTATTTTCATTAACAGCTGTCACTTGAGACAGTGACAAGGGCAGTCAAGGCTCCTGCCTCACACAGAGTGCAGTTCAAGAGATCTTTGCCCATTTGTCCAGTTTAACACTTAACTAGGTGACTTAAGGAACTCCTTTTCCAGAGGCTGTTTGGCTCTTATTTCAAGTCAAAAGGAATAGCAGTGGCAGAGTGTGACTGTTACACATGCTGCATGTAATAACAAATTTGGTTTATTAAAGGACAGGTTGCAAATGGCACAAAAAACTTCAGGAACCTTGGCCATAGGGAGCTCCTTACAGTGCCTGTTAGAGGGACAAAGACACAGCAGCTCAGTCTTAATTTCCAGACTTCTCTCATGGCTGAGGGAAGGCACTGTGAAATTCTCTGTTTGATTCAGGAAATAACAGTCAGAATTACAGCACAAAACATCTTCTGCTACTTTCTGGATGTGCACTTCGTTCAAGGTGGCTTCCCTAGATCCCTTGCTGATCTATCTCAGTCACTACTGGACTACTGCAACTTCCTCTCTCAGGAGAGCCCACGTAAATACTATCCCTGCAGCATCCAGCCTGGAACACAAGCTGAAATGTCGGCCAAAAGGAACAGACAGCCTGGAACTGAATCACCACTCAGTCGTCAGTGCCTGTGAATGGGAACAGGCAGCTCTGGAGCTGCTCTCCATCTGCCCCCACACGAGGATCTGCCTGGCTCACCTGCACACTCTCCCCTTCCTTGCAGATGAGGGGAGACTCCACCATGCTGTAATCACGCCCCAACTGCCAGATTTTGTCTATCAACTGGACATTGTTCCCGCCAGGAGATGTAATACTGTGAGCTCCCAGAGAGTCCTTTTTAGGAGGCTGTGGAGCTCTTTTGGAATGGAAGATGTTAAAAACGATGTCACCCTTGCACACGTCAAAATCCCATGTGATCACTGATGAGGCATCCACAATCTGAATGAGAACCTGAGGCAAGAGAGTCATATTAAGCAACAGCAATTTGCTCAGTAAAGGCAAACTCCTACAAGAAAAAGAAAAAAAAAAAAAGACAAAGCACAGAGCTTTCTGTTGCTGGGTTTAGTTCTGACTATTAAAAAGGCACTGCAGATATGAATTCCCTCCTGATGGGGTGCCTTTATTTTAACACATGACTTTCAGAAGCTCTCAGGCAGCTTCTGAGAATATTGTTTGCTTTGCTTAGAAGGATATGGCTTTGAATACAATGAAAACCAGTGATATCCTCTAAACAGCAACCAGATGACACCAGCAACAGCCACAAACTTCAGCTACTAAAGCATCATTATGCACCAGAACCACAGAGGAGCAAGGTGGAAGCATGGCAACTAAATAATTGAGCTCCACACCACTCTTGGTCCAAGACAGAGTCTAAAGCAGAGGGCAGAGATGAAAGCAAAGGGCAGGCTGCAGCCATACCTCGTGTGGAGCTCCTTTGAAGACACTTGCAGACTGGTAGATTGTTTCAGTCCAGAGCTTTATGTCTTCATTTTCCAACTCTTCTGCTGTCCGGTAGAGGGACTTGGGAACCAGCCCACCCTCTGGTACTTCACACTGAAAACAAACAGCCATTAAACATTAGCTCCTGTGACCATCCCCACCCTGTCACTGCCACAGAAACAAAAACATTCAGCAAATGCTCTGAAGAATGAGATGCAAACAGAGTCTCAAAGTAATTTTATAGCTTGTACATCATACATACTCTTTTTTCTTTTTTTTTTTTTTACAATGATCTGATTTAGGTGTTTGCAGAATTGGACACCAGAGAAACAGCTCTTGTACACACACAACAGCCAGGAGCACAGAAAATGACTGTGCAAATGTTGTAGTTCTCACTCATACCACCTTACACTGAAGAAAGATGTGAGCCACTTCAAAATCCTGAGCAAAGTGGCAACAGCAACTCAGTCTAAAGACTAGAGCCTACAGAGACCTGAAAGAACTAGGGTAGCTAAATTTAAGCACGGATAGTGGGGAGATGCAGCAAGTTTTCTAACAGGTTAAAGGGTATTGCAGCCAGGAAGGTAACAATTTTGAAGCTACAACTGCCTCAGTACTGGAATTGATTACACAACTTCCCTAAGCAATCTTGTTTCTTCAGAAGTCTCTAGCAACAAAGTTAGACAACTACCTGATATGGGGTAGGTTCCATAGAAGTGTCTGGGGCAGAAGTGTTTGATAACTGAGTTACAACAGAGAACTGAAAGTATCTCAGAGAAGTAATTTTTGTTCAAATACCCAGAAGTGAAGAATAAGACACAGACTCTGCAACTGCCTGTGACTGGCAGGAAATATTGCAGCAATTTGCTTTCTGGTAACATTGACTTCTGCTTACTTAAGCAGTGGATTTTGCCAGCTTAGAGCTCCAAATTAGATAACAGTGAAAACTACTGCTGCAGCAAAAAGCAGCCCACTGAAGATAAACACATGCTCTACTCCAACACATCTAACTGTACTCCATTATAATTTGAGACTGTATGGGAACAGACACAGATGACTTTACAAGAATGTTACAGAAATTAATACAGAAAGTGTACAGGGGCTTAAAACACAAGACTGAGATTCTATTTTAACACCGTTGAGTTCAGAAAAAAAAATAAATCTAAGTGTTACTGTGATGGAGATTCCAGAAAATGCCTGAGTTGCATTCCTACACCACAGTCCCATCACTGTTGTCAAAAACACAACAGGGAAAACAGACCTGACTTATCAGCAAGATATTAAAATGCCATGTTCAACTGACACCCAAAGTCTAGGCAGCAAACAGCTATTAAGCACATGACAAGGGTCAGAGAAATTACAATGCCCTGCAGTAAAAAACAGTTTTTCTGGTTTGTTGGGGGTCAATGCACACCCTGTGCAAGGAAATCTGGCTGTGTGTTGAGCCCTGCTAGCAGATGTGCCACACATTTCCATGGGCTCCTTGTGGTTTCAGTTCTTTTAGGTGACACAGACTCTTTTGATGGTGACAGCCCTTGCTCAGTGCTGTGCTCTGCTTGACCTTGACAGGTAACAGACTATGGCTTTTAACTGTGCTTGGCTGTTTTGATAAGCTATTTGATACTCATCACAGAGAAGCATTGTATTACTCTTTTTAAAGTGGATCCAGAAAACACCACTAAGCCTGGACTCCTACATCATAGCCCCTGAATCCAACCTACACTAGGAAACACACTGTGCTTAGAGGCCTCTTTGCTTAGAGTGGATGGGAAAAATAACACACACACATCCCCCCTCAGATAAGTTGCTCTATGCAGTAGTTTATATTCATACCATGCACTCTCCACCAAGGAAATCAGGGATAATTTCTTTATCGATGTAATCCAGCAGCCCCCCAGGACCCTGGTAGTCATTTCCAGCATAAATAAGGAATTTCTTTCTAGTGTTGTCATCAATGAATGGGCTAACCTACAAACAAAGAAAAACAGAATAGATCAGGCTCTCACATTTTACTCAAAGCCATTTTGAAGCAGTTTGATGACATCAAGTGTTACCACTCTTGTCACACAAAGTTCATACTACAAAGAAGCCAAATTAACCACCTCTGTAAGCAAGTTCTTAGGTGGTGTTTTTCAATCCATTCCAGGAATCCTGCATAAAAGACATGTTTCCAAACAATGCCATTTCCTGCATATAAAGACTGATGTCTAAAGTGCTGTTACAAACAAGTGTGTAGTAGTGTACTGAGAGTGCTGAGTAATAGCTTCAATTACAAACCTACCAGTGTCCAAAGAACTGGGAATACTCGAGGTGCTCTTAGGATAAGAAGACGACCCAAAGTCTCAGGGTAATTAGCTTCAACCACCTCAATGATCCTCAGCAATGCTTTGACACCAGGTCTCCATAAATGCCGCATGTTCAAGCCTTCCAGATCTACTAGGCAGGTCCAAGAGCTGAATTTGAGAAAGACAAAAAGAAAAATCTCAATAGCATCAAAATTCTGCTTTCTTTCACAAGGGCTAAACATCCTGAAATGTGTGGGTCCCACTGCATGCTTTGGTTTCTTCTGGTTAACCTCCTTGTTTTGTGCTACCTGTAGACACTGGAGTTTAAGGTCCTGTGCCATGATCACTTTGTGTATCATGCAGATTCACCCACAGATATTTTAGACTTTAGGGAAAGGCTCATATGAAGCCAAAAAAGATCCTGTCAACAGCCAGCCCCAACATTAAACCATTGCTTTCACTGGGAGATCAATTAAGTGGCCACACTGTTGCTGTGGAACAATTTAACATTCACAGTGCAGATTTCCTACTAACACAGAGCAGTAACAGTGCCAATACACGTCAAAGCTAACTCTGTTGTCAGATCTCAGTGAGGGAAGCTTTTTCTATAGGAAGAGATATGTTCTTAATACAAACTACTGAGCTTCAGCATGTGTTTCAGTTAGTTTCCAAGTTCAGGTCTCGCCCTGGGCACGAATTCAAGATTTACAGCTGTGTTGCACCAGACAGCAACCATTACATTATGCATAAGGCTGCTATGAAACAGCAAACCCTTCTTTGTTTCACTTTAAATGTTTAATATGCAGCCCTTTAGGATTACAGCTACAAATGAAGATCCAGTAGGCAGCACAATTTCAGTTACACACATGAAATCTACCCCTTGGATTTGACCCCCCACGGGGAGCCAGGACAGCGAGTTCTGTACCAGGATAAGATAAGCAGACATACCACACATCCCTGCACCTTAGATTAAGGAAATGAGGCAGAAGTTGAAGAGAGTCCAAGACACATGGTATCTTTTTGGGCTGGCCCTGCATTCATTCCACACCCTTAAATGCATTTTGCAGATAACGCTGTCAAAAGTGACCCCTATGACTTCAAGGTGGCTAGCAAGCCATTTTTGACTGAACTTCACATGAAGTCATGCCAGGACTTGGAAAACTAGTCCCCGGGTTTCACAGGAACCACATGACCTCACCTTGGATCAAGTACTGACTAACCACACATAATAAATGGAGAATGCAAACAAGAACTGAGTGTAATGAGCCTTGGTGTGAACTGTGGATGAACAAGTGACATGAAAGCAAAACCTGAAACTACCAGAAAGGTTATGCATAATATTATCACGGCCTGATTTTTTGGCAGCCTATACTGATGCCTGTCTATAAAATCCCCTAGAAACAGCAATGGGAGTTAGGCTGCATTGTTTTGCAGACACACAACAACAAGAGAGAGCAGAAGGGTAACAGCCCCAAGTAGAACCACCATGAGCTGAGACTGACACTGCTGGGGCAGGTGTTGTGTTTCCCTCAGGTTTCCCCATGCACATTCCCTCTAGCACTAAGTGGGGAAGCTCTCAGTTAGCTGTACCTGTGCTCGTAGCTGCATGTGAGACACAGCCTACCCTTTGCTTGTTCCACTGCCTGATGTTCCCCCCACGCACACCATGAAAGCGAGGAACACCCAAGAGCAGATCCACATGTTATTTTACCTTATTGGCCTGCCAAACACTTTTGTATTCTCCTCACATCGCCTCAGTCCTTCTTCATTTATTGAAAGAACCTGTACAAGAAAGCATGTGGTTTAGAGAAGAGTCTCAAACTCAGTAGGTGGGATAACGAAAAAACAGTGTTTATATCCAAAGACTAATTAAAACTACAAGATCAAACCAGCATAAACTTTTTTGCCCTCAAAGAATGGACTAGAAATCACTAGATTTATCCCTAATTACTCAGAAATTAAAGCCCTTTTTGAGATCACAGAAAGTAACCTTGAAACAGAACTAGGGCAAACAAAACAAAATTTAGTATCTGCCTAAAAATGTCAGTGGAAGAGAAAAAGTAAAATCCAGTCCCTGTTTCCAGTAGTTACTATGGCTGTGACTGTCAATACTAGGAGTCAAAAACAGTTAGTTCAAACCTGGAATCCTGCCAGCCTTCTGCTTGGAAACTGAGCAGATTCACAATAACACAGTCTAAGTGATGCCTTTAGAGAAGGCAAAACTACAGGCAAGCACTTTTCCTTAAAATTATTCTTATCCTTGGAGTACAGAACCGACAAAATCTGAGTGTGGCATTTTCTCTCTGCACAAATGCAGAGACTTCAGTCTGAAGCACTGCACCACTGCAGAAGAACCTGTGAAAATGCTAACCAATAACTCCAGGAGCTGCCAAGAGCTATCTATGCCTTTCCAACAGCAGTTTGCAGTTGGAAGGAATGCAGAAGGATCAGCTACCAGGAGCTTTCAGATGTATTCAAACCAAAACCAGACGGCCAGAGAGTACATCAAAATACCCAGAGCGATGAATGTTCTGGCAGAGGAAATTTCTAAATGAAAATATCACATTGTTAGCAACTTGCTGCCTACAAAAATACTCACGTATCGAAGCAAAGCCTCTTCCCCCAGCGCTCGCACTAGGCCTTTGGTGTCCATCTGCCCCAACCTCAGAACGTACAGTGGGCGACCATCTGAGCAAAGAGACCAAATCATCAGCGTGACCCTTGCTTTGACAGCAAGAGAAACCTTAATTGAGCTAGTTTTATGCTAAACTTCCAATGGAAACAAACCCTCATCAGTTAAAACTCCCCTGGAAGGCAAGGAACCTGGAGCAGATGGCAACATAAACATTACCCTGTGCAGCTACAGCAACAGATTACCTGCAAATGAACTGTAAAACTTTAATGGAGACATCCTGATGCAAGGAGAGCTCCCTGAATTGCAAGGAAAGTTCAAAGGACTTCGAGAACATTGGTACACACAGGACCTTGGTATACACAATTAATGACACAAGATTATTATTAGCTTCCAGGACAGCTCAGACACTAATGAGCTGAAGTTTCTCCTGTAACTGCAGAGCTGAGAGCTGTAAGGCTGCTATCACATGTGATGCAATACTGCTCAGGAGAGCTCACAGCAATCCTTCTGGAAAAGCAGCTACGCTGAGCTCTGGGAATTGAGGACACGAAGTGTTAACCCAGAGCTTTGCTTTCTGCAGTGTTTGCTGGAGTCACACTCTGTCACTACACACTCTGCGGAACTGGCACTCAGCCTTGCTTACGCAGGTTAAGGCTGGTGAGAACAGATTCTGCTCCAGAGATCAGCTGGACCCTCTGCATTAGAGCTTTGCCTTTCCACAGTCATCTGGCTGCATCCTGGGGCACCTGATGCTGGCCCGGATACCAAGGCATTAAGCTTAATTACTGTGTTGGCTGAATTTGAGAATCAAAGCTTGCATTTCTGGCACTTCATAATAGAGCTCGTTGGCCAAAACAGCTCCCAGCCTCCTCCCAAAGCTGTGATGTGCTTTTTAAGTTTTGTTTCATCTATTGTAGCACACAGGCTAAAGAACCACCAGCTTATAGAAGGGAATATGTTAGGACACAAATAAAAACAAAAAAGGAAGGTTTTAACAGAAAAATCTCCCTCAAGTCCCACTGTATGTGCAGCTACACTCTCCTCCAACAGCTGCAGGAGAGGTATCAAATTAAGCCCCCTGGGACACAGGAACTGTCAACATACACTATTAAAAAAACCTAACAAACAACCAAAGCTGCAGAGTCAAGGCAAGTTATTTATTTGGCAAAGACACTACCCCATGAAAGTTCACAGCATTTTGTGTTTTATCAGGTGGACAGAAAGAAAATGTTATTTTAACATCAGCACACACTTATCTCGGAATGTACTGTTTAGCTTAAGAAACACTAAACAAAAACTGCTATTAAGCTTCATAGCAGGTTTCCCTCCCTTCCTCCCTCACAGATCCACATGCCTCCAAACCCAAACCGACAGTTTACTAACTCTGGTCCACCCAAATGACACATGGAGTGTCTCAGCTGACAGTGCTCTATTATCACTGTACATTTTATATTCCATTAGAGCTTTGTGATTTTAAAAAAGACATTAGATTGCAGCACTCCTGTCACAGTAAAAGCCACTCAGATGTATATAAAACTCTGCTACTTGCAAGCCAAAATAATAACTTTTATTCTTTGGCACTAATAGCTCATTCTAGACAACACTCTTCATAATCCCTGCTGCCTTTGCTTTAGCACTGAAACCCATACAGCATTCAGCCAGCTAGTTTGGCACATTCAGTGTATGTAGGAGGAAAGGAGCAATACTAGAAAAGGTTTAAAAAAAGAACCTACCACTGTCAAATTTTAAATTATAGAGAACTGCTCGGTTCTGAAACCGTGTTTCCATTATTGACAAAGCCATGCTTTACTTGTGGGCATGCTGCAAGAGAGATCAAAGGAACTGGAGGGGAAGGGAGGGGGCATGAAGTTCACCACAAGACTGAAGCACTTCTCAGAACAACATTAAACAACCCTTTGATGCATTCTGTACCTTTCTGCTCACTGGCAGGACCCAGTTATGTGCTATTGACAGTGGAAGTCTTTGCAAAGTAAGGACAAGGAACTGGCAGAAAGCGAGAACTTATTCACAGGTATTTTCCCCTACAATCTTTACAAGCATATTCTTATTTTCCCTTTTCTCACCTTGAGGTCTGCCAAACCCAAAGCAGCAGGGAAGAGCCAGTCAAGCTCTTCAGTTTTACAGTGATTAAACTTCTGCCCTGTCCTCCCTGTCTCCTGGCCACTGCTGCTGACAGCTTCCTGTCCTGTTTCATACACTGCTTGGAACAGGAAGAGCCAAGCAGAAACAATGGTGCCTAGTGGGAAAAGACTCAATCAGAACACAGATCGCTCACAGTGAGAGATCATTTCCTTATCTAAAGAGCCCAGCTTGCCTCGAGCCACAAATTCCAACACGTTTCATTTCTATGTAGGTATTAGCAACAAGATCAGTGCAGGATAAAGCAGAGGGATAGGGGAGTGTGTCAGGCAGAGTCGTCTGTGCTGTAGAGATCTGGCTGTGGCTTACCATACAAAGGGAACACAGCCAAAGCTGCTTCTCTTCTTAAATAAACCTGCTCTATTTCATGATTTTGCAACATTCCACTTCTCATCATTAAGCTGACTGTAATGCCAAATAAATATTCATTTATGCTATCAGCAGACTCAGACAACATGAGAAATAAATTGATTACAAAGATATACTTATTTACAAACATCTTTTAATCACTGGAGGAGCACACTCAGCATTTGCCTAACACCCTTGTAAGCATCTCAGAGCACTACAGAAGCGCAATTAATCACTTTTTTTTAAGCTCCTGGCAAAGCAGGCTTAAATAAGTCAGTATTAGTCACAAAGACTATGATCTAGGAGTCTGCCTCCAGCAGCTAAGGAGCTGGCACCATCACTGGAACAGGCTGCCCCATCCTGGCTGGATGGGGCTTGGAGCAACACAGGCTAGTGGAAGGTGTCCCTGCCCATGGCAGGGCGTGGAAGGAAATTATTTTAAGGTCCCTTCCAACCCAAATCACTCTGTGATTCTACAAATTGAAGTGTCTTTAGTACGTAACAGCTGAGAAGTTCTAACCATCTTTTCAGTCACCTCTAGTTAACAACTATCACCTTTGATTCAGAACATGAAAAGGCTGTTCAACACCCATACCTTTGTCATGGTGATGCCAGCCTCCTGCATAGTAATCCTGGAGTACTTGTGGAGGGTTCCAGGTGTCCAGAATGTAGTCTACCTGGTGCTGCTTACGCCAGGTCAGTGACTGGCAAAGGATCTCTCTTGCTTTATCGATGTTGAAGTCCCGGGCACGCAGAAACCTCAAAATGTGCTCGTCCTTTGGGATCTATGAAAGTAACCAAACCCAATGTTGTATTCAAGGTTTGAAACAAGAACAGCAAAACAAAGATCAAAAGGTGAAAAATGTGCAGCCCTGCACCAATGCAAGAGGATGGTGTGTAACACTGGAAGTTAGTCAGGGAAATCAGTCTTTGTCTGAAACAAAATCATGAGCCCTGTTAGGTACTGCAGCTCCCCTCATAAGGGATATCAAAATTTCATGAACTCTAATGTAATCATTTCCACCTGTATGACCACACCAAGTCAGTCCAATTTAAATAAATCAGAACAGAACACAGACAGTATTGCCTTGTTTAGTAAGAGGAAGCTGACACACACATGCAAATCACAAGCCACTGGAAAATCCCAGCCTTGTTATCAGTGATTTAACAGGTCCTGTTGCTTCCCTTCAGTACTTGAGACTATGATGTTTGGCCAAAGCAAACAAATGCAAAAATAAGGTTATTGTAGAACCAGGAAGACTTATAAAACTTCTGTTATTCCTCTGTGATGGTTTAACTGACATACTGAAGGGCCGTTGTGCCAATAACCACTAAGGCCCCTCAGCTGACAAAGTCAGGTGGACAGTCACAACCAACTCCTTCTATTGCCACTGCATGGACTCGTTTAGGGTTTGACCCTGGAAGGTCACTTCACAGAACAGTCAGCCACAGGGGGGTGTGGGAGAATGCTTCATCAGGTCCACCTTGTACATCAAACGTTCTGAGCCACGAGAGACCACCAGGAACTTACTTTGCCTTTGTGTGTCTCCTGCAGCCACTTCCTCAGGCGAATGAGGCAGCTCTCCTGCATCGGGGTCAGGTCCCCCAGGTACCTCTTGATGTAGTCTGCATCTAGCTTGTCTGAAGAGAGATGTGCAGGGGATTAGAGTGGGCCTGAACTGACCTAAGCAAAGTAGCAAGTGATCTGATATGCTATCTCAAGCAGACGAGCAGTTGCTGTGATCTGCACAGTCAGAACTGAATAAAGCTTCTTGGAACCAATGAAAAGATGAGCAATGCAACACAGTCATCTCAGTCGCAAACTGAGAGGATTAATTCTCTGTCTGCAATTAAGAAAGGAGAAAAAGCAGCCATTTGAAAAAGCATTTTGCCAGTATATTCAGATTCATCAATCCACAGCACCACAGGGCTTGCTGCTTCTTAGAAAAGCTAAGAAAGCTTAGAAATTCCCTTATTCATAGACTCCTAGAATTCAGGGGTTGGAATGGACCTTAGAGATCACCTAGTCCCAGCCCCCTGCCACCTCCTCACTAGATCAGGTTGCTCAAGGCTCATCCAGCCTGGCCTTGAACACTGCCAGGGTTGGGGCAGCCACCACATCCCTGGGCAACCTGTGCCAGTGTCTCACCACCCTCACAGTAAAGAACATGTTTCTCACATCCAACCTAGGCTTTCCCTCCTTCAGTTTGAACCTTGTCCTATGTATCCCTTGTCCTGTCACTGCAGTTCCTAAAACAGTCTCTCTCTGGCTCCTTCAGATACTGAAAAGTTGCTCTGAGGTCTCCACACAACCTTCTCTTCTCCAGGCTGAACAGCCCCAACTCTCTCAGCCTGTCCTCATAGTGGAGATGCTCCAGTCCTCTTCACAGCTTTGTGGCCTCCTCTGGACTTGCTCCAACAGTTCCATGTCCTTCTTA